AGGAGCTGGCTTGGGGAGGAACTGAGCCCAGCGCTGTGCAGGGATCCCGGGGAGCTTTCGCTGAAGGAGTACGAGGAGGCCTCCCAGGAAGCGCTCTTCCGGGGGAGCGTGTGCAGCGGGGAGGTGGAGACGGGGCTCATCCTGGCCATGGGCTCTGGAGCGGGACTGACGCTGTAGATGTCCTTGCCCTGATGGGAAACAGAGAGAAGGGGGCTGGTTAGGGGGCTGGCGTGATGGGTTCCTCTCCGGAGACCCTCTTCTGGAGTTCCTCTTCCAGAAGCCCCCCCCCCCGGCCCCCGTGGCCACACCAGCGAGGGTCAGGGGAAAGTTGCTGCCTGAAAACAGGTTGCTCCCCAAGGCGGGATCATTGGCTGCACCTTGACCGCTGCCCCTCGACACCAGGGCACAGAGAGGGGGCTCCGAGGGGGCAAGCACCCAGGCGTTTTCTGCAGAAGGTTTTGGGTTCAAGCCCTCTGTTTAAAGGACCCTTTGCCTCCCCCAAAAAAACCCAGCTGCATGTCTGCAATGTGTGGGCACAGAGAAGCGTCCCTTGCCCCAGCGCCTGCGCGCTCCTTCGCTGCCCCTGCAGTGTGGAAAGGTCCGCTTGCTTTTAAAAAAAACCCTGCAACTGGCAGGGTTCCCCCTAGTCAGTTTCACCACTGGAAGCAATATTCCCCCCCCAAAAAAGTGTTCCTCTCCCCTGCGCCCCGAGGCTCTGGCCACCCTCATACCTTGGATGACGACGACAGCCCAGCACTGTCTGTCCAGAGGGACTCCAGCTGCTTGGACAGCAAATCCACTTTGGCGGCCGCCGTGTCCACCTCCAGCTGCTCCAGGTCCATGTGCCGCGAGGCCAGAGCTGTGGGGAAGGGAAGGCAGGGCGAGAGATGAAGGACCCTCCCCTGCGGGACCCACAGGATGCTGTTTGTCCTTTAAAAAAGAAGGCCCCTCCCTCTTCTGGGGGAACTCTTGGGGAATCCCCGTGTGAGGCGCTCTTTGGGCCAGGCCAGGTTCCCAAGCGGGTTCTGGGCGTGCGAAACAGTCACAGATCACCTACAACCCATTCCTAGTATTCTCAAAATTGGGAGGGCGAAAAAAGGACCACACCACCGACAGCCACTGGGGTAGAGGGGACGGAGTATCGGGCCAGGACGCGGGAGACCAGAGCGGAAACCCCAGCTTGGCACTGGAAACTCGGGAGGGCTGACTGGGAGAGCCCCTCTCTAGACATGCCTGTCCTGTGAAGCCCCTTCTGGGGGGGGGGAACAAGTCAGAGGCAACAGGACCACAGAAGAAGTGCAGGAATGAGGACCTGCACGGCGGGTGGAGGAACAGCCAGTGAGACGGCACCTCCCCCTTGATCCTCGGGAGCAGCCGAGGTGATCACTGGGCTTGGGGAAATGAAGACGTTTTGGAAGGGCAGGTCCCATGCCCCCACCCCCCGATGATCACTGGGCTTGGGGAAACGAAGACGTTTTGGAAGGGCATGTCCCACCCCCCCACTGCCAGCCTGGCTAGCGGCTGCCTGAGCGACCCGTTTTAACAGAGGGTGTTTTGCTGGTGGCCATTGCCTGAAAGAGCGTCGCTTTCCCAAACTCTGGGCATCTTTCCGTCACCAGGGGGCGCTTGGTGCTCTTCTCAAAAGATCCAAGGGATACTTCCCTCTCCTCTCCCCCCCCCCGGCACCCCCCACACCTTCTCTCAGCTCAGTCAGAAGAGCACCTCAGGACACCGTCTCCCCCACTCAGCCTGGCCAGCCGCTCAGGGGATGCTGGGGGAGGTGTGTGTCGTCCCCAAAGTCCATCTTCCACAGCCACATTGTCCTGTCTTGACTTGACCCGCCAGTGGTGCCCTCCCTCCCTCTCTCCCTCCCCCTCTCCACCCACCCTTGGGAGCTTGCACGGTATTTCCGGGCAGCCGTGAGCGAGACAGGACCACGCAGGCCGGCCGGCCGCGTCTGGTTCTGCTGCCCCTCCGACACGCCTGCCGCCTGTCCGTGTTCAGCCGAGGCTTTTCCAGCCCACTGATCCTGCCTCGGAGGCAGAGGACACTCCGCCAGCCTCAGCACAAGGCCCTGCTGACAGCCGCTCCTCACGCAACCGACGTGCTCCAGTGTCCCGGGACTTGCACGCCAGCAGCTCTTTTCAAAAGCTGTGGGGCAGCCCTTCCTGCCACCCCCCCAACACCCCCAGCCCAGTTGGAGAAAAGGGCCAAGGGCTCTTTCTTTCAGGTGGTTAGATTCTTCTCTCCTTCAGGGTCCCATGGAGCCTGGAAACATCAACTGGGCCTTTGTTCAGGTTTCCTCGCCCTTAACCCCTTTTTCCCCTATCATGGTTCTGATTTTAGGACCATTGCTTTGCAGAAAGACCGTCCAAGCCCCCCACGGCCCCCCACAGCCTTCGGAAAGGTTCCAGACTCTCCTGGCCACCGCCCAGCCAGAGAGCCTTGCCTGGTGGTGGGTGCCAGACCCCGGGTCCCATCTGGGCTGTGTCTGTCTATGCCAAACATGGATGGGACCCGGGAAAGGGGGTGGGTCAAATCCTCCCACGTCCAGCTCACTACAGACTAGATGACCTCAGGGAGCCCCTCCATGTGGTGCTTCCCCCAGAACTGGACTTGTTTCCACCCTCCTGCCCCTTTCCACACACAGGGAAGCCAACTGGTAGCACCATCGTTGGTCTCGGGACGAGGTGGCGAGGCTTCCTTGAACCCCAAGATCCCTCGTAGGAGGCACCAGGGACCAAGAGCCCCTTGGCCACTGCCCCAAGAGACCTTCTGCCTTTCTCCATCCCAGCCAAAGCAGGCACTGAGCTTCCACGGCGCTTCCTTCCCCAACACGGGATCCTCCGACTCACACTGGAAATTGAAATCTAAGAAGTCCTGCATGCTGGTGGTGTCCTCGCTCGCCATGGCGCCAACTGGTGCTTTGGGCTCCAACGCCGTCTGCCACGAGCACCCCGAGTGCTGAAGGGACCTAGGGAGACAGAGCACCTCCATGACAGCTACCCAGAGACACAAATGACTTCCACACTCGGCCTCTTCGGGACCAGCTCCCGCCCGCCCGCCAAAAGGTATGGGCTTCCTTGCCCTTCGCACTCTGTCCCCCACAGTCTTGCCCTCTTCGCAGGGGTGTTCTCCTGCTCTTGAGAAAGCCAGCCCTGCAAGCCACCGGCTTATAAATTTGGCTCCAGAGCCCAGTTTCTCCAGGGAGGAGCTGGAGAACCGGTAAAGCCTCTGAGTCAACCGTGCCTCTTGGGTAATCAGAGGCATTTGGCAGAAGAAGAAACCTGGGGAGGCACCTGGACAGGCTGCATCATCCAGCGAGGCCGCGCGGGGGGGGCGGGGAAGGCCACACAAAGCCAGCTCTCGAAACATTGGGAGGGGCAGAGGATGTGTGCAGAGATGCTGGGATTCTCCAGCCAAACAAACGGCCAAGCTTGCCTCCTGTCCCTGGTGGAGGCAGGGCGGCTGGTAGAGGGAGCAAGCAGCTGCTCTCTGGCTTGGCAGTAAACCTTCACCATGGGCTATTTCCAACCCCCCCCCCAACCAAACCCATCCCTCTTCCCACAGCCATCCCATGGCTATTGCTGCTCCGTGCTTGCCAATACAGAACCTGGGGATGGCTCTGAAGCAGAACACCTGGACTGGTAGTTCCCCCCCATGCCCTCAAAACCATGAAAGGAGCATCAGGAGATTTTACTTACAAAGGGGGTGAGTTCCTAAAGCCCTCAACACTCTGACTGCTCATATTTATCTCCATCGCTTTAACCTCTCTTCTTTCCCTCATTCCATGCCCGTAATCACAAAGGAAGGTGGGAGGCCCAGATTTTACATCAAGGGTGTCGGGCACTCAGGGCTTTGATCAAAGTAGTTAACGCAAGCTTATTTTTTAAAAAAGAGATTTAATTAAGGAGAAGAAAAAGTCATGGATCTCCCGCAAAGTCCCATGTCTCTTTAAAGGCCACTCCCCTCTGCTTTCCTACCTCTTGGGAAATCTCGGCCTCTGTTTATATTTACTCTAACTTACTCCTGGAGCCCTAATGCAAATACAAAGGAATGGAATCCCCATCTCTGAGAAAAGGGTACATGCGCTCCTAAGCAATGATACACATTGTAATTCCACAGAGGTTTCTAAGCACTGGTTTGTTGGAAACGGTCAAAGGAGAAAGCCAACATGTCAACTCCAAAGAAGGAAAAGGGCAGACCCCATGACCCTGCCTTGTCTTCTTGATCTTCGTCAGCGACACAACACTGACAGAAGATTTAAAAAAACTACTCTAAGCGTTAGTACCAGAGCAGTGAACCTTTCTGAAAAGCTTCTCTGTTGCCTCCATTGGGTATCCGAGTTTTGGATATGGGCTTTCCCAGAGTCAACTGGCTGACCAGTGGGACGAGGAAAGAGAAGGCTAGACACCCTGGGGGCCTCCTTCATCCTCAGGCTTCCTCTACTGTCCTCGGGGACACCGTTGGTGGTCAGAGCAGAAATGAGGGTTTGAGGGGACCAGACATGGTAAGATCTTCGTAACGCCGACGGGTAGCTACCATCTTCTCGGTCTCAGTGGCTTTGCCTGACCACTGAAAGGGAGAACCCAAGCTTCACAGGCAGAAGCCAAACTTTTGTTCTCAACTGAAGAGAATTTAGGACAAGACAATTAGTCCAGAAAAGCAGTCGTGGGCTCGAGGCTGGGAGCCAAAACTGGTTATATAATGGCCAGAGACTGAGACCAGCTCAGGCAGGGACACTAAATGAGTCTTTCCCTTCCTCTTGAAAAGGGATGCCCTGTTTTGCCTTAAGCAGATCTGGCAGCATTTCCCAACCTTTTATGTCTTAATTTTTGACCATAATTACACCATTGTTTGGCCAAAGTGTTTCCCAGCTCCTAGGATACATAACATTGAGGCAATGGCACTCTGCATATGTTCAAAGGCATTCTTCTCTATTTCAGCAGCCAGTTTGACTCATCCACCTTCAGGATCCCTTCTAGCTTTTTAATTCTATGATTCTAAACACTGCCTTTTTCCCATGTGCAGGTCAAGACATAAGGAAAAAAGCAGGTTGTCAGGCTGAGCCCTACTGAGCTGTCTCAGCCCCGGAACCCAGCGTCCTCATCTTCTTTGATCTCATTTTTACCCATCTCCTGCCACTTTTAATCAACAACTAAAGGAGGGAGGGGGAAATGACCCTTCACTGGGTTCTTAATCAGGGATGGCAATGTGAAACATCACATCATGGCAGCAGAAGGGGCATCTGCCACAGGTTCCCACCCCTTTCAGATAATTTAAAGGGAGGAAGAAGAGGGACATTTACTTCTCCAGCAGGTGCAGAAGGAGTCACCCTGCCTGCCTTCCTCACCACCACCACCCCAAGCTCTATAGGGTGTCCCTCCACTATTATGAACCTCCTGCTAATCATTTAAGGTCCTTCTCTGTGAGACCCCACCTGACCGTGTAAGGAAAGCAAGGAGCAGGAAAGTGGACTCTAGATTCATGGATTAACCAGATACTCCAGGAAGATTAGTCTCATGCCAGCTCATGGGCTGTCTGAGCCAGTCAAAACAGTGTTAACTGCCCGGACAAATAGTACATCCAGAGTTCACAACAGTTCCTTTTTAAAATTTAGACAATAAGTTCCTAGAATCTCGCAGCATGGAGCAGCCTGGGACTTGACATTTTAAAGAAAGGGAGCTTTGCCAAGTTCTGCAAACTTATTTGCAAGGCAGGCATGGGTGCGAAAGAATTCGACAACTTTGGTGCCCTCTGTGGGTGGCACGGGGGAAATGCCACGTCCAGATTTGCACCTTGCAGGGCAGAAACCTCTTTCCGAAGGAACTTGAAAAACCAGCCCCTGCTGCTGCTATGCAAAAGGACTGCCATTCCCTGGCCCATCCAGAGGGAAAAACCTGTTGCCCTCTTCATGGTCCCACGCCCCATTCCACAGAGCTAGCTAAGAGAGCCTTTCAATCCACATCACCAAAACCCCCAAACAGATTCGCCAGGAGAAACAGAATGGTGGAAACGAACACTGTCTGAACAACAGCTTCCTGGGAAAGAGGGAAATTGGGAAGTCAGCTTTTTTTGCTTGGGTCCAGATCAAAGAAGGAATGCACAATGCTGCTGAGTGACAGCGGGAAAACCGTGGAGATCACAGGCTTGCACCGAAACTGTTGCTATCCATGGCTTTCTCTGGGTGGTGGACAATCCAGGAAGGCAAACATGAACCAACCACGCCCAGCGAAAGGCAGAAACAGCGGGAGAGAAACTAGCCATTGCAGGCCAAGAATCACAGGTGTGGGAGAATAGAAGTCGGAGGAAGGAGAGCAGTCGTCAACTGCAACCTCGTGGCTTCCTTCAGAGCACACATTTCACCAGAGACCATGAGAAGGATCCAAAGAGGGAAGAGATTATTTTTTTGGGGGGGCTATGGTTACCAAAATTCCACATGCAGTTAGGGGGTTCTGGAAACTATTTTGACTTAGTCACCCCAGCCATGTCCTTGTTCAAAAGAATTGGGAGTGGGTGGTCTTAAGCGTACCTTCCCACAGCTCCTGATCTCAAGGGAACCCACTGGAAAGACTAGAACTCCCAGCATCACGAGGCAGTGGGTTCCATCAATGAATTGTGATGACCTGCTAGGCAAGGAGGTCAGCCTACTCGCCTGGCCCTATGCGCTGTTCCCAACAAGAAACAGCAGAGGGGAAGGAAAACTGGGATTTAGAAAGAAATTAAATGGGAAGACTTGCCCTAAATAGGCTCTGCTTAAACAGATTTATTTGACTTGCATTTGCTTAAAAAATGGTTTGTAAAAAAATGTCCTAACAGCTGGTGATCATCTGAAATGAAATCTTTGATAAGAAATAAAAATAAAGCATGCACACTCAATGTGGTTGAGATGCTACAGTCGAACCATTTCAAAGCCCTGTACATAAACCATTTTTATTAGAAGGCTTGAAATGTTAACAACCCTGTGTACTTCCTTTACAATGTTTGATTACAAATGTTTGGTGTGAAAGGCCTTGTTCGTTCTTGTTCTGTTTTCGGGCTAGTCCTGGCCTTTTCCCATCTGCCAACTTTCTCTCTTTCTTCCCTGTAATGAGGCCACATGCTCAGATAGTGCGCTTTCCTTTTTCTGGATTAGGCACTTTACTACGGCTGCAGAGCATCCAGAAATACTCAGCACCTCTTCAGGAAACACCTCCCAGGCTCACAAAAAGGTGCGCCTTCGAGTGTTTGTTGCAAGTAGAACAAAAATTAGCCACAGCTTTGGGTTTTCGCCTTGATCCAACTGGCACACTTGAAAGGTGGAGGCAGAGTTTAGTTTAGGTTTGGATTATGATATCATTAGAAGTTTTTATTTTGTCTTCGTGTTTGCAAGTCAAACAAGCATATATGCATGCTTGCAAGTGCGTGTATACCTCTAATCACCTGAAAACATAAATTACAACTTGCAACTGCCAAACTGGTCTTAATATTGTATCATCATCCATTCATTATTCTAATCAGTTTTAGGAAGCAATGATGATAGAACTAAAGTAGCAACAACAGGAACTTTACTAAACAATTAAGAATCTGGAATGTTTTCCAGGGGAAATATTCCACCTCTCCTCCCTGTGCGTGCAGGTTACAACATTCATCTAGGAATTATAATCAGGAATACCTGAAAAGAAGCTTGTTTATTGCAAGGTTTAAAAGGTTTCCTCCAAAAATGCAGGCTGACAGGAAAGGCAGGAGCCTCCTTATGGGCTCAAAAGTAAACATGTTTTCAATAAGGGATGCACTAATTTGCATAAGAAATGGTGGCAGGATACACAAGGTTAGACAACTGGCCCGTAGGAATTTGTAAGCTCGCTACATTGATTCATGAATCCCTAAAGAGGCCTCCCCTAGGCAGGCAAGCTGAGCGGTGGTAGAACCTCCATGCAAAGATGCAGTCTGCTTGTCCAAATGCCACTGACTGGTGAGTGGCATTTGGAAAACCATCCCTATTCCATCTAACTGGCCATGACTGGGAGCAGGAGGGCCAGATGGAGGACACATTGCCCTTTCTATGTTCTTATGGGCAGAACCTTTAAGATGTTGTCAGACTTCAACATCATTTATTGCCATTGGCCATGTGGTGCTGGAGGAGACTCTTGAGAGCATTCTTATGGGCAGATGTTGTCAGACTTTCAACATCATTTATTGCCATTGACCATGTGGTGCTGGAGGAGGCTCTTGAGATTCCCCTGGACTGCAAGGAGAACAAACCTATCCATTCTGAAGGAAATCAACCCTGAGTGCTCACTGGAAGGACAGATCCTGAAGCTGAGGCTCCAATCCTTGGGCCATCTCATGAGAAGAGAAGACTCCCTGGAAAAGACCCTGATGTTGGGAAAGTGTGAAGGCAAGAGGAGAAGGGGACGACAGAGGACGAGGTGGCTGGACAGGGTCATCGAAACTACCAATGTGACTTTGACCCAACTCCGGGAGGCAGTGGAAGACAGGAGGGCCTGGCGTGCTCTGGTCTGTGGGGTCATGAAGAGTCGGACACGACTTAATGACTAAACAACAACAAAAATGTGGGCTGGGGCTGATGGGCCCTGCAGTCCAACAACACCTGGGGCAGAACTTGGGGAAGTTCCTTTTTCAGCCTGCTGTTACCAGAATCCAGCAACCCATTGGTGGAGGACAGGGGGATTTTAATAATGATTTGCCCTTCCTCTAGGGGGAGCCCTGGAACGGTGCAACGTGCCCAAGGCCACCCAGGCTGTCTCTCCTCCCAGGAGGCACAGAACAGGGAATCAAACTCCCAGCCTCTGGCTCCACAGTCCAATGCCTAAACCACAGAGCTTGGCAGAAAAGAAAGAACTTTGCCAAGCTCTGGAACTAAAGGCAACACATTTCCCTTCGCTAAGTAATTGCTAGGAGCAGAACACCTTTGAGAAGGATGTTCCAGCTAATTATTTCTGCCCCCGAAAAAGCACCGTCCTCGCTTTCTAGCCCTCTGCTGCCCTTTTGGATTTTCAGGAGAAAATCCTGAATTTCCCAGCAGGAATTTAACAGAGTTCACCATTGGGGGTCTAGTGGGAACGTGGTAGCAAGAGAATGACACGCCACAGGAGATGAGGGAGACATGCTCCAGGCCAGGGAGGCAGAGCGGAAGGAAGCCAGGGCGGCGTTCATGGCAAGAGGGCTGGGATTCAGTTGGGCGAGGCCGGTTCTAACCCTTGGGGAGCCACGAACCTCACTGGTGACCTTGCACCCATCTCTTTCCACCTCCAGCCCACCTCACAGGTTGTTGTGAGGAGGAGAAGAAACAGGGAGGAAGAGACGCATCATCCATTTGGTACAGTCAGTAGGTGAGATGGAAATGTAACTGACCGTAAATAACTACATCCCCAGTCATCAGCGACGCCTGCTTTACAACATGTTTCTTCTTTTGCAAGTCTGACGCCATGCAAGTGGAACAGGGAGGGGTGGGAGGCCAGATCGGCAGAAGAGAAGGGCTGCCCCAGCCACCAGCGGGAGGACAGCCTTTTTATGGTGCTTGGATGCCTCCCCTATCTCTCCTGGTCCTCTCAGCAGAGCAGAAGTGGGCCCAGGGCTGCTCTCTCCATCTTGTCGGAATGCAGCACTCAGCACCCCTTCCGGCTGAGTCCCCGCTGAAGGACACAGGGGGGGACCTGAGTCCAGCGCCGTTTGCAAAAACACTGTCCTCTGCCCACCAGAGTTTGAAAGCAAGGCAGTGGGAAATCTCTTCCCACTCCCATCCTTCTGGACTGTAGCTCTTTCCTGACTCCAGACCCTTGGAGACTGGATGTGGGGACTCAGGGGTGAGGGGAAAGCACTTTATCCAGGCTCAGAGGCAGTGGTTCCAATCTTTTGGGGGGGTCTCCAGAGGTTCTTGGGACTAAACCCCCCAGAAGCCCTCGTCCCTAGCTGTGCTGGCCAGGATTCCTGGGTGTTGCAGTCCAAGAACCTCAGGGTGACCCATGGTTGGGAACCACCAGTATAAAAGGTCACTCACTAGCTTGATTAGGGCTCAGCTGGTTTTGTTCAACTAAACCTACCCTACAAGGCTGGTGTGGAGATAAAAAAAGGGTGCAGGAGGACAGGGTGGAAGGTTACTCAATTGTTCACCACAACCAACCCCAGGGAATGAAGGTGGAGGTCAGGAGGGGCAAACACGATACCTTTCCCCGGTTTCCCTTCCTCCACCCTTGATGATCCACGGTGGTGTTTTCTGACCCTCTTCCTGTCCTAGCCTTCCCCCCCCCCCTGTAAAAGTCAGGGCTCCAGGTGGGAAGCCACCCGCAGGGGAGCAATCCCACAAAAACACACCAGTCGCCACGATGCCCTTTCAGATTGCCACAGGCGCACGGGCTACTTCCACACAAAGTTCTCTCAGCTCTGGACCCTGCTGGCTGAGCAGAGGCCGGTTCTCCAGGGGCAAACCTTTCCACGCTTCTGTCGAAAGGTCTGGAGCACCAATTTCCCACCTAGGAGCACCACACCTGGTCTTCTGGAGGCTTCGGTCTTCAATGCCCAGAAGCTCCCGCCTGCAGTAAGTCAGGGATTCTGAAATCCAAGAACTTCTGGAGGATTGAAGGCTGAGCGCCGCCAACCGCACTGACACCTAAAGAGCTAGGCTTGCATCAGTTGAAGGGGTTACAAAGAAGGAACCCCTTCTTTGTAACCCCTTGAGGTGTGGAGGCCTGAAACCGAGAGCCAAGCAAAATCCCCCTTTTGAGCCAGATCTGCACACACATCTCGCCCAAAAGCCAGCCTACAAGAGACGCAGAAGGACCTAGTACTGTATTTCGAGGTGAGATCATCTACAATCTAGTCTTTTGAAGCTTATCACAACATGGCACAGCATCAGAAGGGATGGGGGGAGAGAGAGAGAGAGAGGAAGAGTCACGGTGCCACCGGCTCTGCTTAACCAGCTGCCCCCCTTATGCCTCTAAACAAATCCCCACCTGACTGTTTCATCTACCTTCCTGACAAGCAGGCACGGTCCTTGACACAAAAGGTGTAATTTAACAAGTCCTGGCAATATGCTTTATTTACTCATTAGGAACATGGCTGCCACCTCACTGCCCAGCGTGATTTTGGAAGCCCCTTTTGTACTCCTCTCCCCCCCACACACCTAAACTAGGATGCCGAGCAGTGTCTAGAAGGGGACCCACCAGCCTGACTTAGTTGTGGGTTTGCTCAAAACCCCACCGCAGGCAAAACGGCGATTGGAGTGGAGAGAGAGGAACCGGGCAGGCAGGGCTGACTCCGGCGTCGCTTCTTAATCATGGGTTTCTGCCCTGGGCCAAAATCCGGGTCGGCACCGACCCCACTCGGGGCGGGGGAGCCCGTCTGTGGTCTCTACCCCCTTCCCCCGTGCCTTCCTCCGGGCCATTACAAAGCCCTGGGGCAGCCCTCGAGGAAAAGCGGCCCCTCGGCCGGCTTGCCCGCCTGCCAGCCCCCGCGGAGGCGCGCCGAACTGGGCCCGACCTGTCTGCGAAAGGCGGCGGCGGCGGAGAGGCCGGCAAGTCCGGGCGT